AGGGTTCAGTGTATAGGGTGCAGTGTATGACAAGAGGGTATAACAAAGAGAACATATGTCTTCACATATTTCGATCTCAAAGATTACTCAAATTCGGCCGATAAGCTCATTACAAGTACCCAAAACCCAAAATCGAGTTAAGCTCATAAAATGTTCAAACTGGGCACAAAATTACATTCAAACCTATATCTAAGTCTACCAAAATAAAACACAATATTTATTTCAATTTCAATGCATAAAATCCATGAATTCTAATTCTTTCTTATGCCAAAACGTTAAATGAGCTTGTTCGCGAGCTTTAGAGCCGAACATGGTATGGCTCGAGTTCGGCTCATTTAGTTAACGAGCTTGTTCGCGAGCCGAATCGATTAAGACGAATCGAGTTTCAAACGAGTTTTTATCGAGTCGGACGCCAAGCCGTTCATGAGCAGCTTGGTTCATTAATAGCCCTAAATGGGTTAAGAATGAATGAAGAGACAGAAATTGGGAAAGAGTCGTCCAATTTTTTGGCAGCGTGGCTACCACAAGAGCAAGCGGCTCTCATTGAAAAGAGTAGTCCAATTTTTTGGCGGATAAAAAAGGCGGTCTTCTAAAAAGAGTAAGAAAGGAAGTTTTGAAAATGTTAAATTTTGTTTCACGTTTGAATTTTGCCTCCACCAATCGGTTAGTTTGTAATAATAAATATAGTGAGAAATGAATTGCAAATAATCTTTTGAACTTTTCCTCCAGCAAAGCAGTAATCTGCATTAGTAACGAAAAATAGAGGGAAATATTTTTTTGGATTAATTAGACGGAATTTTAAAGGTTATTAGTTATTTTCAGTTATATTATCCAAACATTTTTAGATTCTTTTATATTATCCAAACCTATTAAAATTCTATTAATTATCCAAATATTTCATGATGCATCAAAATATTAGCCATTTTTACGTTATTGAGAAACAACGATAGACAGAAGTCAACCAAAAGTCAACCCATTGAATATGACTCGTTTGCATGTGTTATGCTACTATGAGAACTGATCGTGCGGAGATATAGGGTTCATGGTTTAGGGTTTAGGGTTCAGGGTTTAGGGTTCAGGGTATAGGGTTCAGGGTATAGGGTTCAGGGTTTAGAGTTTAGGGTTTAGGGTTCAATTATCAATTATATAATTCTATGTCCATATTTTATTGCCTTAGAGGTTGTAATTTTTTTGTAAATGTCTAATTGGGCACCATATATAAAGGCGTAGACCACAACCTATAAGAATGGCACTTGAGCTGATAAGAATAGTGAATGCCTTCTTATTAGTTAAAATCTTCAGCCAATATCACTTACCCAATCCATGTAAAATCATTCTCCATGAGACCATGACTTAGTAAACTATAAAAAAAAAGGTCGAAGGTAAGTGATTACTCTTTTGTCAGACCCACATCCTATATCGTAGGACCAGTAAGATCGACAACAACTCTCTAATTTGATGCTGCAGATTGACGACATAATCATGATTAGCTAAAGAGTACTTCTCCGTTAATTCCAACCCCAAAAGGATGATACCGTACACTAAACTGGTAGGAAAGAGAAACCCTTTCACAACCTGCAAGGAACAATTCGAAGGAAAAGGAGACAAGAAGCTAATTGGATGGACATGGAAGAAGATTATTCTCTATTTCTACCACATCGACAAATGGATAAGAACACACATTCACTTACCTATATAATAATAGTAGCGGTGTCCATTGGGAAACACCAAACCATAACTGGACTTTCTCGTGCCCCATTCCATCAAAGTCGGCCAAGAGTTCTGTCTAATTAGGGCCCGACGAGTAGACGAATTGAAGAACTCTTTTTGCAGTTGAGGGCTTGAGATCAGAAACAACCAACATTACTACCACCGAATAGGCCCAACAGTGCAGCAGGCGCGTTCTCCCGTTGGCCGGCTAGTTGTAAGTTTGGGATGTTGATAGAGGCCCATTAGTTGGGTTTGGGCTGCCAAAACGTTTGCATAAAAAAAAAACCAAAACCAAAAAGGATCACGAAAACGTTTCCGCTTCCTCTTCCTCTTCCCTTTGGCGCCTCTGTTCCGTTCCCGGCGAAGACATCAATCGGACTGGTTCATTGCATGGTCGGGTTTGGCTGTCCTCCTATCTGCCTGACCCACATTATTCTCATCCCCAAGAGTTGATTCTCAAGATTTTGCCAGAATCTCACATTTATATTTTCTTTCCACTCATCAACAGGTTGGCGATAATCGCGTCCTCCGCTCCTTTGGGTACGCCTCCTTCTGCTCTCAGATAATTCTTAGTCGATTGGGCAACGACCTGGTGTTTGAAACGCTTTGCGATTCCTCGCCGCCATTAGAAGTTTGCACACTATTCTCTTCTTCGAGCTTCGTGTTTGCTTTATTGAAGTTCCGAGCTAACTTGTAGACGACGTGTTTATGGAACAGAGGAATTGATTTCGGCTTCCGTTAGCAAAGGAAAACAGCAGTTGAGAAGAAGCACTGGCGACCTCCCGATTCCAGTAACTTGCGGGATTAGTTTATCCTGCTCAACTTCACCAGGTTTCTCGCTTTCCCCTCTAGTTTACTACTGTGTCTGCATTCCTTGATGGTGGCGCCCTGCAGTAAGCTATGTTTTCTAAAGTGAATATGATATTGAATAGGTATCATATATTTAAGATTATGAGCTGCTAAATGGCTTCAGCTTGCTCTTTTCATTGGCTATAATTTGTTTAGAAATGAGAAGAATACCAGCAACCCTGACTATGAGTTGAATGTGAAGGACTGAGGCCTTCTTTCTTTCATACGCTGTTAAGCTAGTATTTCTACTTTCGAACATTCTTTTATTTTGATTTTGCCTTGCATGTCTTTGTTTCTGATGCCTAAGATGTGTCTTCTCTTCATTTGTACATGATTATTTGATTAGTGTCAGAACAATATCCTCTTTTGATATAGTCGATAAGAGTCTCTTTGGTTTTTTGCAATTGAAATACGAATTGGTTATTAATTCAACATTGCAAAAGTAATATGCACCGTGGTCCCAAACAACAACTAACATAGTTTGTTTTTATGATTCTAAAAATGGCAGATACTTCCAAAAATAGAGGTTGAGCAGAAGGAAATCAGTGTGACATATATTTGAGATGGACAACATACCTAAATGGAACCCGTAAGTAATGGTTTCCCAACCAACTCATAATAAACCATATTCTTGTGTTATCATAACTACTTAATACAATTGCTAATAATCTAAATTATAGGTTTTTAACCCTTGGAGATGATTTTGTTACGAATCTAAATTATCAAAATGCCGTGGCAATGTCTGAGACCGTTGAAACTTTAGATCTAATCCCAAAGCAATTGAATGGTGATGATCAGGTGAGTAAGATAAGACGTTTGTTATCTATCCTTCTCTATCTCTTCTGTGATTGATTTGCATCTGATTTGTTTATTTTTTTGCAAATCATCATCTTTTGCATTATATCAGGGCACTTCGTACATTTTCTCTGGCGTTGTAACAGAGCTGAGGAGATCTTGGTGTGATGCATCGAGAGTATACTTGATTCACTTGACCATTGAAGATGACATTTGTGATGTTGAGGTCGTGTTCCCATCATCATACTTACGGAGAATCATTTCTTCTGTAGTCAGTCCTTCTGAGATTGACAATGCCGACTATGTTACACTTCTCAACTTGATTGGTGACAAGTCATATGAAGTCATGGTCACAATCGGTCCTTGGAACAACGTGGGCAATTTTTTTGATCTATTCTTGGTTAAGTTGTTCCTGCCTTTAGATAACTAAGTAGCAATTGGGTATTATTAATATGATCGGATTAATGTTATTAATGGTCCACCTCTCTGTAATCTCTCGTGTTCTGTAAGTGTAATGGATATGTGAACGCTAATATCTTTTGTACGTTTATTATCCTTTTGAGGGGTGCTTGATGTAAAATATGAATTTAAATTAGTTATGGTACTTTGAACAAATTAGTATTAGTAGATGTGACTTGATTGCTTTTGTCAACAGTGGAAGTAAATTCGTTTGTATTTGCATTGAGTTAACAACGTGAGAATTACACAACAAACCTACTATTAATGCATTCTAGTCCAAAATCTCTTCGATTCATTATATGAGCTAGTGTAGTGAGTCTGCCAACTGTCCAACCAATTTAACACAAATAAAAAATAGAAATGGATAATTCACAAAGGCAACAAATGGTAGTTCAAAAGTGAAAAGATCCTTTGACACATTAGCGTGTGTAAACAAGCACCAAAGCCATATCAGCGTGTGTAAACCATCAGACCAAATCCTCTTTTCAATGCGACTCCCGTCTAGGATTTTGATTCAGCAGTAAACCTGATGACAATAGCAGTCATAAGAGTTATAAAGCAGTAAACCTGATGACAACAGAAGAATCAGATCGATATGGAATAAGAGATTTTTTGCTCACCTGCCGGCTCGGATTTGGTCAGAGCACAATGCAAGTGGCTAAACTGGTGTTTCAGAGACCTGGTCTTCAAGCTCTAGACCAGCAGCTTTAACAGCTGCTGGAATTGCAACAGCTGGACCAACACCCATTATGGCAGGATCGACACCAACAGCAGAAAAGCTCCTGAAAAATATCCAAAAATTGGTGTTACAGTAAAAGCAAAAGGAAGAAGCTTCAACATCAGTATCAAGTTCAAGAGGCCAGAAACTTGAGAGGAATGTGAATAAGTTGGGACAGAGTCTTTCAAAATAAGGTGTCTGAATTTGTTGTCTACAGGACATTCATTACTTTATCGTTATGCAGGAATTTATTTCTACATTTAGTAAATTGCAAGACATTCACCATGCATTCACGTATTGCTTTCAACTAAATAAAAAAAAAGCAACAGAAAGCTAAGTGGAAACTTTCTGCCCTGAACTTGATTTCAGGGTAATGGGGCAGGCAAGGTAGCGATAAGAACATTAAGTACCAATATAACTTGTGAAGACTCCTTAAAGTGAACATGTAGCTAACCTGAACACTCCAAGGATGGGGAGACCCTTTTGCATTGCAACACTTCTCCTCATGAGCAATACAGCCCCAGCACCATCACTCACTTGGCTTGAGTTTCCTAAAGATCACAATACATCAGCTTATGAGATGAAAATTCAGAAATATTGTGCCGTGAAGTAAAGCAAATGCAATCAGTTTTACCAGCAGTAGTGGTTCCATCTTTCTTGAAGACGGGCTTCAATCTGGCGCAGTCATGTTCGTCACACACGAAAGAAAATTACCAGGCCTTCTTTCGTTATACACTACATTATCACATACTTCATATGCAGCCATACCTATGCGCGTAGTCGGAAACACAAGGTTGTCCTACTCGCATAATCCCCTACGCTCTCCGACATCCATCGACCCACGAACACAACACCTGCTCTGAAGCAACAAATCATTAATCACAAAGGGGCAGTCTCCTATATAGAGGTCTTGACAATGCCTACACATTTCCTGTTCACACAATAACCTCACTGTCAAGGACATCTCAGTCTGAACATCACACCACAGTAAAAAAAAAATTATCATGTTCATTCCTCATACGATAATAGTACCGATTCCATTGTTCTTAGCAATTAACAGTGGAAGATCATCAGGGAACATGACGCAAATGAGATAGTTATCTCCAGCGATATGTACAAGGCTGCCATATCTGTCATTCACTAGAAACTTCTAAAGATCCAGTTGTAATTATGATAGATATCATTGCTTCACAATGCCGATGAAAACATCATTGAATTTTTTTACAAATACAAAATACCAAATGGTTTTTCAGCCATGCATGTTCTGAGTGACAACTAAAAGGAAATGAGACTATAGCATCAGTCACGCTCTATGAAAGTTAATCAGGCAGCTAGCATGCCAATCCCATTTCCAATACTTAACTAGAAAGAGCAAGAAGAATAACACATACTCCAGAACCACACAACACCACAAGAACAAGATAACCTAAGTTAAAATGATCAGGTTTACATAGGCTTTAGAATCAGTAACCAAGGTGGGATGCAATTCCCTTGCAAACAATTTTGTAGCCAGTAGATGACCCTAGTAAGAAAGGTGACAGACATCAGAAGCAACTACAATGAATTTAAACTCACCTCAGTCCCTAGCTAGTCCAATTTACCAGTTCCCTTCCGGTTTGGACCGTCCCCTGCCGTCCTCTGCCTCTGATTCACCTTTTGCAAGGGAATTAGATGACTAGGTGCGCAAAATAGGTTATAAGCTAGCATTCATATGGTCGAAACTGAGATTACAAATTAGAAACCCAACAATACCGTGTTTGATTCATCGAAGGTCGTGTTTCATCGATCCAGGTTTGCCCTATTATCCAGCGGTAGAGGCCGTTGTCTCATCGTCGTTAATCTAGGCCTCCTTTCCGTCCGTTCGCTGCCGAAAAGAAAAGGGAGGAGGATGGACAGGGTGATTAGCTGGCATTCATATGGCCAAAAATCAGATTTCAAAATAGAAACCCACCATTAGCGTATTTGATTAATCGAAGGGTGTCGCTTCGTCGATCCGGATCTTTACCTACTATACCCTGGTTGAGGCCACTGTTTCGTCGTCCTCAATCTAGGCCTCCTTTACCTCCGTTTGCCGCCGAGAAGAAGAAACAAGGAGGATGGAAAGACTGAGGGCGGAGGCGTCGGCCGTGATTAGGCCACCACTGTCCATCTCCTCTTCCCCAACTACGTTTAGTTCTCTGCTTCAAATACAAAGAAGATGGAAAAGAGAGCCTGGCGCTAGGAACCGATGGCGGCAGCTAGGGCTGCCATTTGTGAGAACGAACGACAGAAGGACGAGAAGGATTAGAGCTTGAGAGAGATGGGCAGACGATTTCTGGTGGAGATTCTTCGTCGGAGATAGATCTACGAAGCAGAAACGAGAGGGGAGGGGAAGGGTCGGGAGGATAGAAATCTGGGTTCATAACAATGAATGAGTTAATTTCATCTGCGTAACTAAAAGGAATCTATTTGATACTGATGACGATTGCAAAAATGACATTGAATTTAACTTGAGATGCCAATCAACCAAATATCGACATGATATAAATTGTGGATTTTAGAAAGAATTATCAAAAGAAAAGGTATTAGAATATAAAAACATTGATAAAAATTGTTGAAGGACTATATAGTACGTATAAAATTTTAATGGGTGTCATCAGTAATTATAAGTATTAATAAATAAATAATTTATCCGAATAAATATGGATCGTCTGATTAGATCTACGGTGATGGAGTCTGGAGTATAGTATATGTCTGGAGCATACGAGTCGTTCCCATATATATATATATATATGTCTGTGGTTCTTACTATGGTGTGAAAAACTTTTGTAAAAAGCGGTACAGGGCTTGGGGAATTACAAAAGGGTTTGACAATCAGGGGAATAAGTTCTGATTGTTCAAAGGTGTATCGGGTCTGGTTGGGATCCGGGAATTGGTTACTTTGCTATCTCTTTACAGCATTTTGTCCTTGTTTCGGTTTATGTTTGATAGGAGAAAACGTAATAAAAAGAGTCTCCTAGAAATCAGTGGGTACTGATTCTAGGACGAGGAGTGACCAGTAGTTTGGGAACCTCGTTAAAATTGCTTGTGTCTATTTCATTTCTGCTCTGTGTTTTCTTTCTTTTCTCTGCTTGCACTCTGCTTTCTCATCTCTTGATCTGTTTCTGTTCTAACTTTGCTCTGCTCTCGATGGAGAAGACGAGTTTCCTTGCATCTGCAACTGCAAGAGCCAAAACCGGTTGTTGTGGGCTTTAGCCCATTGGTCACTTTGGTTTTCGTTTAATTATTTTGCTTCTTTAGTTATTCTAGTTGTTGGGCTTTGTGTTAATCAAGCCCATTCCTTTCATAAGGAGAAAGACGATCAGCTCACTAGCTGTCTTTCGTCAAGTCTCTTCTCCTGGTAGCTCTTTTTCTCTTCTTCTTTCTTTCTGCAAGTTTCAGTAAAAATCACTAAAATCGTTCTAAGAGAAATCCCCAGCCTTTTCTCAATTGGTATCAGAGCCTGCCCTTGAGGAAGCTCACTACTGCCAAGGGGAATCGATCCATGGCTACATCATCTTCGTTTTCGTTTGGTCCTGCTCCGTGTTTTACAGGGTCGAACTACACGGCATGGAAAAGACGGATGCGGAATTTTCTCTGGGGAATCGATGAAGGTCTGTGGTCCATGGTCTGTGTTGGGCCACTTGAAATGAACCCGGAGGAGCAACATGCTTGGACGATCGAACAGAGGAAGAGCGCACAACTCAATTGCCGGGGGATGCACATTCTGCAGAGCTCACTGAACGCCGATGAAGCAGAACTTGTCGAACATTGTGAAACAGCGAAGGAGATTTGGAAAAGCCTGGAGAACACTTACGAAGGTACGTCCAATATAAAAGAGACGCGAATCGATCTTCTTATGCATGATTACGAGGCTTTTGGCATGCAACCAGGTGAGGGCATCCATTTTATGTATTCTAGATTTACAGTTCTAGTTAATCAGCTTAAAGGTCTTGGAAAAACTTTTTAGTCCAAAGAATTAGTTTGAAAAATTTTACGTTCCCTACCCAAGGAATGGCTGCCAAAACGAACAGCTATCGAAGAGGCAAAAGATCTCAATACTTTTTCTGTCAATGAACTAATAGGGTCTCTTTTAAGCCATGAGCATGTTATTCAACAGGTGGAAAAAGATGATGGAAATCATAGAAACAACATTGCTTTTAAATCCCGTGCTCATGAGTATGGTTATGAAGATGCTGCATATTCCGAGTTTGAAAAGGAACTTTCTTTAGTTAGCAAGAAATTCCACAGTATGCTTAAATTTAAGGACGATAAAAAGCATCGGTTTCATGACTATGGTAAAAATAATACTCACAATGAACACAAAAGTGTTCCCCATGATAGGCTGCTCTACCAGCAGACCAGAGAATCTGATAAATGTATGCAGGAAAAGGAAACTCAAGTTTGCTGTTTGCTATAAGTGTGGAACAACTGGACATATCCGGGCACACTGTCCTCAAACAGTGAAGGCAAAGGAACAAGGAATGTTGAATGCCTGGAGTGATCATGAATCTGGATCAGATGAAAGAGCTTACATGGCGACTGCACTCAATGTTAATTCAGAAGTCTTTGACATAGAGGAAGCACTTCATTTGGAATCTGCCAACAATGAGGTACAATGTATCCCAGACTCCTCTGAAGCAACAAAGGTACATGCTGAACACATTTTGTTTGCCTTAAAGAACCTAGAAGATGAAGTACAAACCTTGAATATCAAGTACTATTGTCTCAAGGAAGAAATTATGAAAAAGAACGATGAGTTAGTTAAATTCAATCGTCTTGTAGAGTTAAATAAAATTCATATTGCTGAGTTGTGCAGAGAAAGAGAGTTCATCAAATTGGAGAAGGATCAGATTTATGATTTGTTAGAACATAGAAATGCTCCTGCTTGTTCTTATGATAATAGTACAACATATTGTAATGCTTATACGGTTAGAAGTCAGCTGCTTAAAGATAAGCATTATAATGGTCAACCTAGTAGACTAAATAATCGCAGAAAATTAGTTAGATGCTATGTTTGTGATAGACCGTTAATTACACATGTTTTTACCCCTGTTCTTACACCGTTTGAGCTGTTGATTCTCGTGTTTTAGGCCGATTTCACGCTAGGTTGTGCTTGTTTGTGATATTTCAGGTCCTAGTACGTGAATGGAGGCTTGGGAGCGAGTTTGGGGTCGATTGGACGAAGATCGGACGCATGGCGAGGTTCTAAGGAAGCCACACGGGCAGCCCTGGGTATCACACGGCCGTGCAACTTGCAATTGTGGCCGTGTGATTTTTGTCGAGGCCAAACACGGGCATCCCAGGAAATCCACACGGCCGTGCAACCCTGGCCGTGTGGGATGGCTGAAGATCGACCTAAGTGATACGGCGCGTTTTGACTCACACGGGCAACTGGGTGAGCCACACGGCCGTGTGGCCTGCCCGTGTGAGTCGGGAAATTCTGGTTTTTCAGCCAATTTCGAGCCAAAAGTGGGGGAATCGGATTTTCAGAGCAAAAACAAAGCCCTAGAGAGAGAAAGTACGAAGAACACATCCTAGAAGCTATCTTGGAGCTGGGTTTTGTCAAATCGAGCTTGGAGATCGTCATAGGAGTGGAAATCATCATCCCGGAGCAGATTTTCCTCATCATTATGAGTATGACTAATCCGATTACTGTTTTCTTCTCTCTCTCTATGGAGTAGAACCCTTCTCTCACTTGGGTATGAAGAGCCATAGTTCCTGGTGTTAGGGATTTGATTGTAATGACTTGGGATGATTAT